TGTCCTCTTCGATTTCCTTCTTCAAAGACATAAAGTTCTTGTCAAACAGATCTTTCACTTCCTTGGTCAGAGTTACCCCAAGATATTTTATGCTATTTGTGGCTATCGTGAAAGGTGATGCTTGTCTGATTTCCCTCTCTGTTTCCTTATCCTTAGTGTATAGGAAGGCAACTGATTTTTTTGGAGTTGATCTTGTATCCTGCCACATTACTAAAGGTGTTTATCAGCTGTAGGAGTTCTTTGGTAGAGTTTTGGGGGTCGCTTATGTATATTATCATATCATCTGCAAATAACGAAATCTTAACTTCTTCCTTTCCAATACGAATCCCCTTGATCTCCTTATATTGTCTTATTGCTATTGCTAGAACTTCAAGCACTATGTTGAAGACGTATGGAGAGAGTGGACATCCTTGTCGTGTTCCTGATTTTAGTGGGATGGCTTTGAGTTTTTCTCCGTTTAATTTAATGTTAGCTGTTGGCTTGCTGTAAATAGCTTTTATTATATTTAGGTAGGACCCTTGTATCTCTTTTCTCTCCAAGACCTTTATCATAAAGGGGTGTTGAATTTTGTCGAATGCTTTTTCAGCATCTAATGAAATGATCATATGGCTTTTTTCTTTCAGTTTATTTATATGGTGGATTACATTGATAGATTTGCGTATGTTGAACCATCCCTGCATCTCTGGGATGAAGCCTACTTGATCATAATGGATAATTTTTCTTATGTGTTCTTGGATTCGGTTTGCCAGTATTTTATTGAGAATTTTTGCGTCAATGTTCATGAGTGAGATAGGTCTGTAATTCTCTTTCTTGGTTGGGTCTTTGTGTGGTTTTGGTATCAGGGTAACTGTAGCTTCATAAAAGGAATTTGGCAATGACCCTTCTGTTTCTATATTGTGAAATACATTAAGGAGTATAGGTATTAGGTCTTCTTGGAAGTTCTGGTAGAATTCTGCATTGAAACCATCTGGTCCTGGACTTTTTTTCGAAGGGAGATTTTTGATATCCATTTCTAATTCTTCGCGAGTAACCGGTCTATTTAGATCATTCACCTAGTCTTGGTTTAGCTTTGGTATATGGTACTTATTTAAAAAAATGTCCATTTCTTTTGTATTTTCCAGTGTTGTGGCATACAGGCTTTTGTAGTAAGATCTAATGATTCTCTGAATTTCCTCTGTGTCTGTGGTTATGTCCCCCTTTCCATTTCTGATCTTATTTATTTGTGTGTTCTCTCTCTGTCGTTTAATTAGTTTGGATAGGGGTTTGTCGATCTTGTTGATATTCTCCAAGAACCAGCTTTTTGTTTCATTGATTCTTTGGACTGTTTTCTGTGTTTCTATTTTGTTGATTTCAGCCCTCAGTTTTATTATTTCCAGTCTTCTACTTCTCCTGGGCATGTCTGCTTCTTTTTTTTCTAGAGCTTTCAGGTGTGTTGTTAAGTCCCCAATGTATGCATTCTCCGTTTTCTTTAAGTGGGCACTTAGTGCTATGAACTTTCCTCTTAGCACTGCTTTCATTGTGTCCCATAGGTTTGAGTATGTTGTCCCTTTATTTTCATTAAATTCAAGGAAGACTTTAATTTCTTTCTTGATTTCTTCCTTGACCCAGGTGTGGTTCAGTAGTTGACTGTTCAGTTTCCATGAGTTTGTCGGTTTTTTGGGGGTAGCGTGGCTGTTGCCTTCTAACTTTAATCCGTGATGATCTGATAATACACAGGTGGACACTGATATTTTTTTTGTATCTGTGGAGGTTTCCTTTGTTTCCGAGTATGTGGTCAATTTTTGAGAAGGTTCCATGAGCTGCAGAGAAGAAGGTATATTCTTTCCTATTTGGGTGGCATGTTCTATAGATGTCTGTTAAGTCCATTTGCTTCATTACCTCCAATAATTCTCTTAATTCTCTCTTAGGTTTCTGCCTGATTGACCTGTCCCTTGGAGAGAGAGGTGTGTTGAAGTCTCCTACTACTAGTGTGTGTGGTTTGATGTCTGCCTTGAGTTATAGTAATATTTCTTTTACATAAGTAGGTGCTTTTATATTGGGGGAATAGATATTCAGGATTGAGACGTCATCCTGATGAATTGTTCCTGTTATGAGTATAAAGTGACCATCTCGGTCTCTTCTGATTGATTTTAGTTTGAAGTCAGTTTTGTTAGAAATTAGTATGGCCACACCTGCTTTTTTCTTAGGACCATTTGCTTGAAACACCTTTTCCCAACCCTTTACTCTGAGTAGGTGCCTGTCTTTGTGGTTGAGATATGTTTCTTGGAAACAGCAGAATGTTGGATCCGGTTTCGTATCCAATCTTTTAGCCTGTGCCTTTTTATAGGTGAATTGAGCCCATTAATATTAAGTGATATTAATGACCAGTGGTTGTTTACTCCAGTTATTCTTATTGCTTTTGGTAGTAGAGATTGTGTGTCTCCCTTCTTTGAGATGTGCTCGTGAAGGGTCATTAGATGCCTGGGTTATTGTAGGCAGTGTTGGCAGTGTTGGATTCCTTGGGTTGCGATTTTCCTTCTATTACTTTCTGTAGGGCTGGATTTGTGGCTACGTATTGTTTAAATTTGTTCTTATCCTGGAATGTCTTGTTTTCTCCATTGATAATGAACGATAGCTTGGCTGGGTATAGTAGTTTGGGTTTGCTTCCATGGTCTCTTAGCTTCTGCAGAACCTCTATCCAGGACCTTCTGGCTTTCATAGTTTCCATAGAGAAGTCAGGTGTAAGTCTGATCGGTTTACCTTCATAAGTTACTTGCCCTTTTTCCTTTGCAGCTCTTAATATTCTTTCTTTAACCTGTATATTTTGTGTTTTGATTATTATATGGCGAGGAGATGTTTTTCTTTGATCCAGTCTGTTTGGTGTTCTGTATGCTTCTTGAATATTTAAATGAATATCTTTCTTTAAGTTGGGAAAGTTTTCTTCCATAATTTTGTTCAAAATATTTTCTGGGCCTTTGAGCTGTGACTCTTCTCCTTCTTCTATTCCTATTATTCTTAGGTTTGGTTTTTTTATTGTGTCCCATAGTTCCTGAATGTTTTGTGTTGAGAATTTGTTGGCTTTGCTGTTTTCTTTGATCTGTTTTGGGTAATTCAAACTAACAAGAAGGAGAGCCTTCTAAAAAGTATACGACATTGAATAAATAAATTGGAAAAGGTAACAGAAGATGGAGAAATTTCACACGCTCAAGGTTTTGTCAATTTATGTAGTAAAAATTGCCCTCCTACCTAAAGTAACATTCTGCTTCAGTGAAAACTCCATCAAAATTCTAACACAATTCTTCATAGATCTTGAAAAGACAGTCTTAAGCATTGCATGAATGCAAACAAACAATAATCTCACAATAGCTTAAACAATCATGAAAAATAAAACTATACATTGTAGGGTATATTACCATGCACAATATTAAATTACACAACAGTTAAATAATCAATGCAAGAGCTATGAAACCAGCTCCAGCCCTATCCAGGTTCCCAAAGATGAGATGCTACTCAGGAGTGAAGGGGATACAAAGTATTTCTATAAATTTCCTATAAACAGGTTAATGCCCTATTATTTCATGTGTCCTTTATGTTGTGCTGCAAAAATTTCCAACTATATATACATACAACCAGCGATTTTCAACCCTCACCAGGTAGAGTATTTCAGGGTTATAAAAAAAGATAAAAGTTTTACATGAAGCACTAACTCTCAGTCTTTCTCTAATGGTTCAAGTTTGGGGTTGTTGAATCCTCTAGGAACTTCTTGAAAAAAAAAAGGAAGTTAATTAAAGGAGAAAAAGATACTAAGGTAATTGAGAAACTTAAGAAGGGAATATGGATGCTTTAACAGTTATCTTAAATGTAAATAGATAAATATGCTAAAGATTACAATCAGGGAAAATCAGGGGCTAGGCAAGAATCATCTTTTTTTCTGAGTGCAACTTTTCTCCAGGAAGTGGAGGTAGTATCTGGTAACTAGGAAATTTAGATAAATACACAAAGGAAGCGCGTGGTATTTGGTTCTTGTTGGGAATTTCTCCAGATGTTAATTGCCTGAAAGGAGCCATTTTGGCTCTCAGGATTACATTCTGTGCTATCTTCAGGGTAAAATACCACCAGTAAATTTCTTGCTTCAATAGACCAAGGTAAATATAATTCCCAAAGTTTTGTTTTTCTTCTGCTCTGTTTCATGACATTTTTGTGTGCGCAAATGTTTGTCTTTCTAGCTAAATATGTGTGCTGTCCTTTTGCTTCATCTCCTTTCTTCTGTTGTCCTATCTTATTTCTTTGATTTTGACTATATTATTTTATTATTCTTTACATGCCTATTTGTTTTCTAAGAAGTGACATAAAGTGGTTAAATTCAGACCTAAGTGAAAATGGGGGGAATTATAGGTCATTTGCGGGATGAAAGTCATTATAAGAATATATTTTATGAGAAGCGTCTATTTTCTGTGTAAGAAAAGAGAAAAATGTGTTTACTATGATATAATCAGTCCTAAAGAATTTCACTGATGTCTGAAAATTCATGAACACCTTCAATGTGGTTGTACATGAATCTCTGAGGACCAGTTAGTAATAACTGTTTCCTGCTCGTCATTCCTTCTTTCTTAATTAATTAATATTCTGTCTGCTTTATTAATATTATTCAGTTTGGTTATTTCATTTATTTATTTATTTATTCATTTATTTATTCATTTATTTTTGGTTTTTCGAGACAGGGTTTCTCTGTGGCTTTGGACCCTGTCCTGGAACTAGCTTTGTAGACCAGGCTGGTCTCGAACTCACAGAGATCCACCTGCCTCTGCCTCCTGAGTGCTGGGATTAAAGGCGTGTGCCACCATCGCCCGGCTAGTTTGGTTATTTCAAGTTTTTGAAGAGATGAGATTTTTCTACTATAATATAGTTTCATAACAAATATAATCTTTATACCTGTGTAATAGTGTTTGTAATAGTTACTTTTCAATTCCTGTAATAAATCACCATGATAAAGACAATATACAGAAGAAAGGTCATTGATGATGAATCAGAGGGAGTATTTTACAGGGAAATGGAACAGCAGCGAGAGATTCAAGATAGAATCACCATATGAAGTAGAGAATTTACTAGTGGTAGCAGAAGGCTTTAGAGTTCTCAAAGTCATGTTTAGGGATGTAGACCTTCCAGTAAGTTGATACCCCTTAATCCTACCCATAAATATACACCATCTTCAGGCCATGTATTCAGATATTTGAATATATGTAGTCACTTCATTCAAACCAAGGTAATATAACTTCAATCCTGTTATTTTCATATTTTCTTTAGTGTATGTTATGAAAGATGTTCTATCCATTTGCCTTGAGAAGAACGTTTTATTAGAACAAATGATCATGAGTATTTTTTTAATGCCACATAGCATACAGTTCCCATACTTACAAAATGGTACACACTCTATATTGGAAAACTTTTCTCCTGAGGGTACTAATTCAGATAATTAAATATTTCCTATTTTCCAGTTCAATATTCCCATCAAACGCATGATCTATTTGCACAGGAGAATACACAAGATTCAATTCTGAAGTTGGTATCTGGAATATCTGTAAGTTTTAACTTACAAACCTTGTATTTAAGGATATTTTAAAAAATTTGGGGATGAGAGCAAAAAGAAATGTTGATGTTATACTAAATAATTTTTACTCACCAGCTACCCTGGATAAATTTGCCAAAAAACGGTTAAGAATCTCTACCTAATCGTGAATGGTGTCACACGAGATCTCATACATTTACAGAAGTTTCTTTTATAAACAAATGCAATTAAGTTTTAAATCATATTTTTATCTGCAAAGAAATTTGAAAAATCTGAAAACTGATACATATTCTATCAAGCATTCACTAGAGTTCCCCCAAATATTAATTACATTTGTGACAAACTAAGCAATTTAGATCCACATGGGAAGATTTTTCTCAATAAAATGAGACTGAAAATATTTCATAATATTTCTAGTTGGGAAACTTCTTACACAAATAATGACATTATTAAACCCTTCCCTAAGAGGTCTAGGAAGAATAGTACCAGAACCATCAGTTGAGGGAAACAATGCCTGAAACACTGCATCACAGTCCATGTTTACTAGGTATTTAAATACACAGTAGTGGGCTGTTTTTCCTGAGAAGTGTCTAAGGAAACTTTTGATTCTAACACATACCATTTTTTTTGTTCCAGTATGACCAGAAACAAGAGAAGCATTATATAAAAAATCAAAATGAAGAGAGACAAAACAACTATAAGGAATGTGGAAAGAGCTCCAACAGACATTTATGCCTCCCTAGTAATAAGAGAATTAATTCCAAAGAGAAGATGTATAAATGTAAAAACTGTGATAAATCATTTCCTTGTCATGCACATTTTCAAACTCACCAAAGAATCCATACTGGTGAGAAACCTTACAGGTGTCAAGAATGTGGCAAGTCCTTTACCCATGTCTCAACACTTCACGGACATCACAGACTTCATACTGGAGAGAAACCTTACAGGTGTCAAGAATGTAGCAAGTTCTTTGCCAAAATCTCACACCTTCACATTCATCACAGAATACATACTGGTGAGAAACCATATGGATGTCAAGATTGTGGAAAGTGCTTTACCTGTGTCTCAACCCTCCACAGACATCAGAAACTCCATACTGGTGAGAAATCTTACACATGTCAAGAATGTGGAAAGTGCTTTACCCATGTCTCAACACTGAAACGACATCACAGAATCCATACTGGTGAGAAACCTTACAGATGTCAAGAATGTGGCAAGTCCTTTACTTGTCATGCAAATCTTCAAGCTCACCACAGAATTCATACTGGTGAGAAACCTTACAGATGTCAAGAATGTGGCAAGTCCTTTACTCGTCATGCAAATCTTCAAGATCATCACAGGATCCATAATGGCGAGAGACCTTACAGATGTCAAGAATGTGGAAAGTGTTTTACCGCTGCCTCAACACTTCAAACTCATCACAGAATCCATACTGGTGAGAGACCTTACAGATGTCAAGAATGTGGAAAGTGTTTTACCGCTGCCTCAACACTTCAAACTCATCACAGAATCCATACTGGTGAGAGACCAAACAGATGTCAAGAATGTGGAAAGTGTTTTATCACTGCCTCAACACTTCAAACTCATTGCAGAATCCATACTGGTGAAAGACCTTACAGATGTCAAGAATGTGGCAAATCTTTTAACTATGTCTCAACACTTAACAGACATCACAGAATCCATACTGGTGAGAAACCTTACAGATGTCTAGAATGTGGAAAGTCCTTTAATCATCATGGAAATCTTCAAGTTCACAACAGGATCCATACCGGTGAGAAACCTTACAAATGTCAAGAATGTTGCAAATGTTTTACTACATGCTCAAGTCTTAGAAGTCATCAGAAAATTCATGTAATGTATACACTTCATAAAACTTCTTAGTTTAACTCACACCAATTCAATTTAACAGTCTTCATGAACAGAATGAATGATTTCACAGACTCATATGCTTCAATTACTTTTTAAGCTTAGTCAGTAGTTATCCAGCACTACAGTCCTAATAAATTTGGAAACATTGTGTCCAGATTTGAGCACTATAGTCATGAAATATTCATTGTAAAATAAATTAATTATGCACCATTGTTTGGGGCATAACAATTCAAATATCAAATATTATTAAGAAGTAAATATCTCTAGTAGGAAAGAATTAAGAAATATCATTTCTTGACTGTATGTGACAATAATGTATTAAAGAACCAGCCAAAATCAGACTATTCCAGATTTCAATAACTATTTTAGATCTTGGCATATGGTTGTTTTAAGTAATGTGATTATGTTCTACATAAATATTATTTTCCTGTAATTATTTGTGATTTTATATATATAACTGCTTATTTTGAACTTCAAGTATTTTCCTTCTTTGCAATAAAAATGTTATATATTTTAGCCAATCTTTTGCATTTCTTTGTTTTTATTATCTATTTTTAATGACGGTATCATTAATGTTACCCTGTGGATAATAGCAACAACATAAATATGTCATAACAAAGAAGTAGATTTTTTTCTGGGAAATGTATATGTTGTGTTTCATGTACTGCTGTGATTGATGTAATAGGGAGTAAATGGACAAAAGCTAAGGAGGTATTGTGAGGACTTCCAGGAAGATAGTGGAAGGAGGAGGAGGAATTGAGGCAGGCAAGTTGCCAACAGAGATGGTGGAAGCTGGATGTGTGGTATGTGGCAGAAGATAAAGTAAAAATATATGGCTAATTAAAGTTATGAGAGCTAGTTAAAAAGAAGCCTAGGATTTTGATCTGGTTTGCCCTTATTCAGCTCTTATGAATCACTTGAGTTCCTAATTTCACATCTCCCAGTGTGTGATGAAAATAGTGCTTCTTTATAGTCATCCATCACCTTTGACCTTTACCATCTCTTACAGTTCTGTCCTAAACGAGCCTTTGAATTGCCCAAAGGGGATGATATTGAAAGGACACTTACAGCTGAACGTTTTCTTATTGTCTGAACTATGACTTCTGGTTGATACCTAAGCCACGTAAAATCCACCAAAATTGATTGATATAATATTTTTAGATAATTGCATATTGATTTCATGCTGCTTCTCCAGTGTGAACTCTCAAAAATGTGAATAAATTTATTAGCTTTTCTTCAGCCATAGAGCAGTATTTGTTATTATTTATTAATGTTACTTTTCTTAGTCATTCTGATATGTGGAAGAAATTTCAAAGGATAGTTAATTTGCATTTCTCTGATTGCTAAGCATGTTGAACTTTAGAAAATACCTCTCAAACAGATTTATAATTTTTTGAGATTTCTGTTTAGGTGTATGTCTAGTTTTAATGCTAGTTGCATTTTTGTTTTTGTTTGCTTCTTTGATACTCTCTCTTTTTTGGTGTATAACCATATAGTTCTAGGTATGTTCTACAATCAATATCAGACGTTTAGCTTGTAATGTTGTTTTCCTAATCTTAACACAGTCTTTTTTTGAAAGTTAGTAGTCTGCCATCTATGAATGGCAGTTAATTTTATGAAATCTTATTTGTCACTACTTGGTATTAAATGCTATGGTCTAGGGATCTTTGCCAGAAAGTCTTCTTTGTCTACTGTGAACTGTTTTTTTTTTAAATATTTATTTATTATGTATACAGTATTCTGTCTGTGTGTATGCCTGCTGGCCAGAAGAGGGCACCAGACCTCATTGCAGATGGTTGTGAGCCAACATGTGGTTGCTGGGAATTGAACTCAGGACCTTTGGAAGAGCAGGCAATGCTCTTAACCTCTGAGCCATCTCTCCAGCCCCCTGTTTGTTTACTCTGTCTTTATAAGTGAACACTGTAAAAACCAACCTTACTTTCTTCAGATTTTCTATATAATTAAATTATTTTTGTAACCTAAGCTAATGCATACATGAAACCTTAAATTAACCTCTTCCATTATAAATGCTAAATACAAAAGAGAAATATAACATGATATGCAGTGGTGTTTGTAGTACTGTCTGTTATTGGTATCAGGTGATGTCAAATGGGTTCACTGACAAATCCTTGTGAAATTATTTGAAGACTTCAGGACAGTATCCCCCAAACCTTTCCCTTCTGATGTTCCTTGTTCTGTTCAATAAAATGACAGAAGTTCTTGTTAGGGTCAGATACATCCACAAACACAATGACAATTTCATAAGACAACCTTCAGGAAGGCCTAGATTCAGATGCATAAATGACATACAGTAAAAATGGATGGCTCCAGATGAGTGAATTACACAATTTAAATCTGAGGTTGCTACTGGCCTAAGGACAAAAAGGAGAGGTGATTTCCTGATTTTGGTTTATAAGATACCTTGCATTACAGGTGAGACTGATATTAAGATGCTTAAACTGGAATATTTTGGTGTCCTATGTGAGGAATCTCAATTTCATTAAATATTTCTAATAAAGAAATGGTATCTTCATAGAAGAAAGTTTGACAAGAAAGTATGAGCCAGAATGTGGTGGTGAACATTATAAAATCTTTTTGGTGTGGGAGGTCCTTCTGTCTATGTTTTACTGTTATTGGTTAATGAATAAAGAACTGCTTTGAACCTATGGCAGGGCAGAACAGAACTAGGCAAGAAAGGCTACACTATATGCTGGGAAAGAGAGGGCAGATTCAGAGAGTAACCATGGAGCCACAGGAGACAGTTGCTGGGAATTTTAGCCGGAAAGCCACAGTCACGTGATGATATACAGTTTAATAAACATTAGTTAAATTAATATAAGAGTTAGCCAATAAGAATCTAGAGCTAATGAGCCAAGCAATGATTTAATTAATAGAGTTTCTGTGTGATAATTTTGGGGCTGAGAAGTCAAGAACAAACAAGCAGCTCCTTTCTATATCTTTAAGATTTGACACACATACACACACACACTTGCACATGTGACTGTAAATATGTATATATGTAATTATGTATATTTATACATGGAATTACAAAAAATACATAAAAGAAACTACAATCATTAGGGTCATACTTACTACTGCCCTGAATTGATCATTAGCTAACAGTTAATTATAGAAGTCACCTGTATCTTTCAAGCTTGTACAGATATTGTGCAAGCCAAATAAAAACACATTAAAAATTCATTCATAGTTACTTTGGTTCCTTTGTTATCTGTCCCAACATCTCTCACATATAGCTTTTCTTTGTCACTTATGTTAAAGTAAAAAGATGGTTTCTAACAATAGAATCTTCAAGGGAATTATGGTAAGCACAATATGTTCTTTTGATACCTATCAGAATGTAAGAGTCAATATGAATGTATTATAACATACAGTGATAATATGCAACAAACATAATGAACACGATCTATTGATGATGCATTTTGTACTCTACTGCTTCCATTAAAAAGAAGCCAAAAATTCTGTAGTTCTTTCTAAATCTCAAAGTCATAAATAACTGCATTATAGCATGGATAATAAGTGGCTTAGATACATTTTACAATGTGGGAGTTAATGTTTCCCAAACCCTTCTCAGTGCAGACTGTTAATTAGGAACCCGATGCCAACTGTTGAAATTACTTTCAGTTGTGCTGCATTGCTCAGCTTCTATTTATTATTCTAAGGAGCAACCACAACATCTTTGTGAACTTTGCTACTAAAAACAGGGAGCATATTGTGATAAACTTTATAGGATTCTGATCTTAAGTTCAGTTAAACTTTCATAACACCTCATGAGTAGAACAGGCCAGTATAGACCAAGCTCTCACTAAGTATCGTGACTGCTGAGCAGATCTTTTCAACTCAGCAAGGGAGAAACTATTAATCCTCCTCTTTGCATGAGTATCTTATAACCAATACAGGAGTAAATATTCTTCTGATTTTTAAAATTCTGCAGATGGTGAGTTTTCTTGTAGCAGGCTAATGATGTTTGGTGAAAGTTTTAATACAAATTCAGAAGAGAGATGCTTGGAACTACAAGGGCACTTGGTTTTCCCTCAGATAGAAGCTCAGAAGAGATGGATGGTTCTGCAGTAAGTATGTCTCTGCTCAGCAGCTATGTACAATTTCTTCTACAAAGTTTATATATTTATTTTGTACATCCTTACTTCTCAGGATCTCATACTCTTGCCAAAGAAGTTCATTTGTAATGTAATTAGCTTGTCTGTGTTTCTTAAGAGAGTTATGATCGAAACTTTATATGTATATTGTTCACACAGTGTGGGCTCTCCTCTATTTTGTTCTTTCCTTCTGATTTTTATCTTAACATATATTCTCAATGAAATGATGATGTTTATCTTTGAGGATTCCCTTGTGATAGATGAATATTGTGAATTGATGATGTAGAGTTCCTCCAGAGACCATTTCATACCTCATGTAAAGAGAGAAAATATAAAAATAAAAATGATAAAAGAGTTACTTCAATTTTTTTGTATCTGTGGATGTTTGCTTTGTTACCAAGTATGTGGTCAGTTTTAGAGAAGGCTCCATGAGGTGCTGAGAAGAAGGCATATTTTTTTGTGTGTGTGGATGAAATGTTCTATATATGTCTGTTAGGTCCATTTGAGTCATAGCATTTATTAGTTTTCTTATTTTTCTGTTAAATTTCTGTCTGTTGACCTGTCCATTGGTGAGAGTAGAGTGTTGAAGTCTCCTACTAATAGTGTGTGTGGTTTGATGTGCAATTTAAGATTTACTAATGATTGTTTTACATATGTGGATGCTCTTGTGTTATGGGGCATACATGTTCAGGATATAGACTTCATCTTGATGGATTGTTCCTGTTATGAGTATAAAGTGTCATTCTCCATTTCTTCTGATTGATTTTAGTTTGAAGTATATATTGTTGGCTATTAGCATAATTATAACCACTTGTTTCTTATGTGCATTTGATTGGAAAAACTTTTCCTAACCCTTTACTCAGAGGT